GTGGAACTTACAGGAGGGAACAACGGTGGTAGGAATGATGACACATCGTATTAGATCTATCTTTTATTAGAGATTTTAATATGATATAGTTAGGTGGTTTGTTAATTTGATAGTTTTAAGTTTGGCTTAAGTTAATAAGTGGCAAAACAACGATCCAGAGTCTACTGTGGAACTTACAGGAGGGAACAACGGTGGTAGGAATGATGACACGTCGTATTAGATCTATCTTTTATTAGAGGTTTTAATATGATATAAATTTATAAGAGTTTTGTTATTTATTTTGGTATATGTATGGTATTATAAAATTTGGATGTTATGTAATCGTTTTTCTGCATTTAACGTATTGGTTTTTCTGCATTTAATGTTATTATGTATCGGTTTTTGGACAGTCAAAAATGGCTAGTTTTAAAATAAAAAATAAAAAAAGGCAATAGCGGCGATGCTATTAGCAACGACATTGGGCATTAGCGGCGACAAGTAGCATTGGTAGCGACAATAAGCATTAGCGGCGACTTTGGTGAGCCAATAGTGGCGACTTTTGTCGTCGCTAATACCCTTTTTCCTTATAGTGATTTCTCCTTTTTTTTATTGTAACTTATCAAAGTCTACATTTTTTTTTTTGGGCTTCATCTAGTTTCTGGCTAAATGATGACCCTTAATAATATCTTTAACCGTTTCCAAAAAAATAAAAAATGTGCACGAGAAAGATGGTTTCTTAGGACTGAATGGAGAGAGGCCTAAGGTTATGGGTGTATGTGATAAAATAATCGAGTCTATAAACTAGCTACGCAACATGGGTCGTCCTTCATTAGAGCACCCGGTATGGGCCTCAACGAGAAGAAACGAGGGTGAGGTGGCACGGTTCAACGTCGTCTTAACGAGGGGAACACCGCCCCTCCTAGCTCGTTGCATCTCGTCGGTTGAATCTCGTGGTCACGGAAACGAATTGAAAAGGGAAAAAAAGAACTGTTCCACCAATTAGGCTTTCTCTTTCTCTGCATTTCTTCACCTCAACGGCGTTGAGGAAATTGAACACCACCCCCAACAAAAAAAGTGAAGATTAAGAAAACTTTTGGTGCTTAGGTGGCCTCACCACCCCGTTGCCCATACCCATCACCGTTATGTGTTGAGGAAAACACCGACGGAATACGGCATAAATGAGAGACCGTGAGTTTGTGATGGAACAAAATAATACCGACGTACAAGAATATCGTCAGTTTTTGAATAATTTTTTTTCTTGACCGTCGCAAATCCGTCGTTAATTATAAATATGTAAAAAAAATGCAGTGTCGGGATTAAACCCATACCAACGATTGGGGTGGAGGGGACAACTTACCAGCCGATGATATTTCTTAGTTTTTATGATGAGACAGTTGTTTTATTCTTTGTTTTTGGTATGAGACAATTGTTATATCTTATTTTTATGTGTGAAAGCACTTGGTAATGTATAATTGAGTTTTGTATGGAACACTCCTGTGTATTTTAACATTTTTATTGCAATGTTTACTTAGGTTTGTGTTTGATTATTATTATTATTATTATTATTATTATTATTATTATTATTATTAACACAAATCCTAGAAATTTTAGGATTCTGTAATTTAAAAAAAATTAATTTAGAATACTAACAGATTAGTGAGAGAATATCTATCGGTAAAAGGATTCACTACAAGAAAGTACAGCATTACCAGCGACAGGCGTCGTCGCTAAAAGTGCAGTTTGTCGCCGCTAATACTATTAGCGGCGACGTGTCGTCGCTAAAACGTCGACGCTGATACTTTGTCGCTATTAATTAAGCTGTCGCCGCTAATGCGTGGGTGTCGTCGCTAAAGACTTGTCGCCGCTAATAAGGTCACGTCGCTGCTAAAGACTTGTCGCCGGTAATAACCTATTGTCGCCACTAAAGGCGTCGCCGGTATTGGTGTTTTTCTTTTATATATATATATATATATATATATATATATATATATATATATATATATATATATATATATATATATATATATTTCACATTAAAATTAAAAAAAAAAAACTGGTATGATATTAATTAATCTAATCCTATATCATTCCATTCCAAAATATTAATACAATATCCGTTTAAATTACTCGTCTGATTTAACATATAACAAAATATCGAAAATCCTAGTTTAAAATACTTGCACAAATAAAACATAAAAAAATCCTACAACTATCTACTCGTCATCATCGCTCTCCTCGTTTCCTCCGGTTTCATTTCGTTGTGGCAATGAACGAAACCAATCTTCAAGTGCAGCACTACATACCGGATCTTTTAACATTGTTTGAAGCATTTCCAACTACAAATAAAACAACATAGTCTTATAAGTTAAAATAGCATTATAACATTCTATATACAAAATATACATTCCACATATTGCGTATAAAACATTATAACATTGTACTATAACTAACAATTACTAAATTTTGAAACTATTACTAAACTAACAATTACCAAAACATGTTAAACAATTACCAAAATTAAATAGTCTTGTCACCTGTGATTGTGGTGGTGGCTGTGTCAGTGGTTGTTCTTGATCGTACATCGACACAACCGTAGAAGGTTTACGCCCGATGCCTCTGATATGGCCACGTCGAACACCTAATATTTTTTCAAAACAATTTTGTGTATCCTTTGGTGTTAGACCGCTGGCTTCAGAAGATGCTTGAGTTTGTTGACTGATCTCAAAGAGTAAAGCATTCTGTATTTTCAAAAAAGAAATAAATATAATAAAAATTAGATTACTAACTACCCTTTGACGATATAATCACTTATATGATAATAAAAATTAACCACTTACGTATTGTTGCTCGACTGCAGGACTACTAAACACCCCTTGGCGATCAGTATTGGCCTTACGAAATGCTTCGATTCGAGCGATGTCCTATTTAACATTAAAAATTAGATTAATTATAATTTAAATAAACAGTTAAATATATCATAGCTTACTTCTTTGAAACATGCATTGCTATACGAGCACGATCCCCCTCGGTTTACAACTTGTTGTTGTGCACGGACTCCTTTGTTTGACGCCGAACGCTTTAGAAATTCAGGAGTTTGAAAATGCTCGACTGCTTGTGCCCAATTTTCACGTGACATACCATCGGGGGGGTTGGCTAATGCCCTTGGGATATCTGTAAGCCCCCCGACATTCTCAAAATAAGTATGCGCTTTATTTTTTCGGCCTCTATAAATTCTTTGCAAGGTCGCGTCAATGCTCTGCAACAATTGAGCACGCTCGGGATCCAAGTTAACCTTGTCTAAATCAAACTTATTCTACAAATACAAAAAAATTAGTTAGTTAAATACCAATTAGAACTAAACTTAAAATATTGTCCAAGTTACCTTTAAATGAACCACTGTGGCATTCCTTAAAGCGGGGGAAACATTATCCCAACCAGATACGTTCAAAGGGATGTTCATCCATATATACTTCCCAATCTCACGGGTAAACCAATTACCATGGTTCCCGACAGGGGAATATGTCAGCTCCCTATCGAAATCCAAATCTACAGGCTTTCCCTTGTTTGCCCTTATTATCTTTGATAGTTGAATGTTTTTTGCTAGGCCTCTTCTTTTTTTAGGGAGCTCAGCTGAAAAATATAATTAAAAATATTAGTCACGATAGCTTATAATAAATGGATAAAAACATCTAACAAATATATCATAATAAGACTTACCATCCTGTTCGTGTTGACCACGACCAAAGCCTACGGGAGGTGGTGGATCCTCGGCTCCATCACCTCCATGTCCTAAACCCATAACATCTGCCATCACGTACAAGAGTATCGTCCAACTAAACCCCATATACAGCCTGCAAAATTACAATATGAATAGAATTATAGCAACATATTTTTTTTTCATTTTTTTCAACATATCACATACATAAATACATTTTTTTTCATTTATTCCACATATTACAAACATAAATACACACGTTATATATACAAATACACATAATCTTGTTTTCTACACATACTCATTATAACATCATACTTTTTTTTTTCTATTATAGCAACCTAACTTTTTTTGATTTTTTTCATACATACAAATTGCATATATAATTTCAAAACTCATACATTACATATATAAATACATTTTTTTTCGATTTTTTCTACATATATACATACATAAATACGTACATTATATATACAAATACACATAAACATGTTTTCTACACATACTCATTATAACATCATACTTTTTTTTTTCTATTATAGCAATATATTTTTTTCATTTTTTTCAACACATCACATACATAAATACATTTTTTTTTCATTTATTCCACATATTACAAACATAAATACACACGTTATATATACAAATACACATAATCTTGTTTTCTACACATACTCATTATAACATCATACTTTTTTTTTTCTATTATAGCAACCTAACTTTTTTTGATTTTTTTCATACATACAAATTGCATATATAATTTCAAAACTCATACATTACATATATAAATATATTTTTTTTCGATTTTTTCTACATATATACATACATAAATACATACATTATATATACATATACACATAAACATGTTGTCTACACATACTCATTATAACATCATACTTTTTTTTTTCTATTATAGCAACCTAATTTTTTTTTTGATTTTTTGCATACATACTAATTACATATATAATTTCAAAACTCATACATTACATATATAAATACATTTTTTTTCGATTTTTTCTACATATATGCATACATAAATACATACATTATATATACAAATACACATAAACATATTTTCTACACATACTCATTATAACATCATACTTTTTTTCTATTATAGCAACTTAATTTTTTTCATTTTTTTCATACATACAAATTACACATTCACATTCACAAATAAAACACATACAAATAACATACACATACAAAAAAATACTAATGTAAAAACACACAAATGCATAATACACATATAAACACATTCTATTTATAAAATGAAAGATGAAAAGGAACCTGTGGTAGTCTAATTTCAAAATTTTCCGGCAGAAATTCCACAGTTCCGGCAACAACTCCGGTAACAACTCCAACAGCAACACAACCTTAAATTAAAAGGTTAAACTAAGTAAATAAACATCAAAACATAAGAAGAATCGGAAATAGGGAAGAATTTTGACCTTAAATGGGTAAAAATTCCGGAATTGAGGTAGGATCGTCTCCTCTTGGTCGTCGGTAATGGAAGTCTAGGTCGCCGGTATTGGTAGCAACCGAGGTTTGGATGGCGGTGGTTTGTGCAATGGATGTTTGGACGGCGGCGATTGTGGTGTAAGAAAGACCGGCGAAGTCGATGGAGAGAATGAGAGAAAAGGCAGAAAGAATACGCAGGAAAGAGCGAACTGGAGGGGTTATCTGCGCGGACTTTTAGCGGCGACGCCTATTAGCGGCGACGTGTGGGTATTAGCGACGACGTATAGGTATTAGCGGCGACACGTCTGGAGGGAAAAGTCAGCGCCTTTTTTCACGCCGTTACAACCGTTCGATTGAATACAGATCGAACGGATAGGGTTCATTTGACACGGATCGCTACTGTTGACTATTAGCGGCGACAGCTTTAGCGGCGACATGTAACGCGTCATTACATGTCGCCGCTAATGCCTGATGTCGCTGCTAAAGCCGTCGCCGCTAATACTCACATTTCTTGTAGTGATTGGTAGGTAAATTGGTCAAACAAAGTCAAAATAGGCATGTTGCTAAGTCTTCGTTCATCCGTCGTAGACCCGTCGGTATTTTAGTCAAACGGTGTTTTAGTGAAATTCCGTTGGCAACTTACACTAGTACGGAAATGACGTTTGGTCACACAAAACAACCCGACGTTTCGTCACTATAGACATTTTATGACGAATTTTTGTTTCATTCAATATTTAAGGAAATGATGTTTCATTAATCATAAGTTATGTTGACGTTATATTGACGTTATATTGTGGTGATTATCACCCATAAAAACCGTTGCTATAGGTAAAAACCGTCACCATAATATAGCAATTTTTGTAGTTTTTTCAATCATTTTTTTGATAAATATCACCATAAGTCATAAACTACATTTTGTCACAGGTTAATTTGTTTTAATGATTATTTTTAATTGACACATTTTTTTTCATGATTATTATTGTTTTTTAGTCACACATTTTTTCATTTGTCGTGGTCACACAAAAGAAATTAAACCGTGATCATAAGTCACTTTTAACAATATGTTAGATTTGTTTCACATGACTAGTGTTTACTTATAATCACACATAATAAATTAATCGTGATAATAATATACCAAGTATGTCGTATACTTTTAGTCACGTCTAACACCATAAACCACTCTTAGTCACATATTTTTTGCTAAGTTTATTTGCAGAAAAACAGACAATAAATAAAAACTAAATACAACTTCAACTATATTAATGATAGTAACCATTAATGTAAAAGATATCCGATGCATATTCAATAAAGAATGATATCTCCTATCTACTAGTACTTGTCCGTCGGTATTAATTCTGTTGGTAAAGTTGTGATAACCAATTATGTCGGTAAAGATTACGCGACGCCCTCAAATCCGTTGCTAATAGCCATCTCCGACTAAATGCCAGGGCCGATCCAAACGTATATGGGGCCCGGGGCGAAAAGAAAAAAAAAACCCTCAAAGACATACAATAAAGATTCAAAAAAGGTATCATTTATATGTTCAATTAGTAATAACAAACAAACAAATTGTTTATCTTTTAAGGTAATTTGAATTTGAATCAATTTTAAGGTTTAAAAATTAATTAGGTAATAACTTTTTTTTATATATATACACTACATAGCCTAAAAAATTTTGGACCCTCGAGACGTGGGCCCTGGGCGGTCGCCCGAGTTGCCCACCGTCTGGATTAGCCCTGCTAAATGCCTACGGATTTGGCTATATTCCCCCCTCTTCTAGAAGTGTCATGAGTAGGTAACTAAGCTGTGAAGTAATTTATTTCACCTCATGCATCTAGAGTGGCACGAAATGATCTATGGGTGTCCACGTACACGACATTAATGGTTCATGGTTCCTTTGAAATATTCGAACCTATGCATACGACTAATCTTGCAAGTAAATTTTTTGGTAATCTCATTAATTAACGCCAATTTCTAGTTTGAATATAGAAAATACATACTTTGATTCACGATATACAATGAAATATTACATTAAGATTAGTTGTGTGGTCAAGATTTCAACAATCGAACATTAAGTCTTCTAAGCCATACAGAATGAAAAATCATGTGAAAGACATCAAAATGTTTAGCTGGCATGTTAACCGCAAAATGTCTTTGCACTTCCATTAACCTTCTTTGCATTTCCAAATACCTCGAAAAAGGTATCTCTTCCAAAATGGTTTTGAGATTTGGAATGTCATCCACGGGTACTTGTACTGAAAACTGACTCCAATCCAACACATCGCTATACGGTATAACGTAATGACTCTTGATGATTACTGGAACACATCCCACGTAGATTGCTTCTGTTAACCTACTGCTTGCAACTTCATAACCGCTAGGACATAAGCAATACTTACTTTTTGTCAACCATTCGGTGTGGTTTTCTCCTTTCGGAAGGTAATTGTAAACTTGAATATCGTTATCTTCATTGTTTCCCCAATGTTCGAATAAACGTTTTCTTACAAAACCATGTATTCCACCTGCAAAGAATGCGAAGATTGAACGATTATAAGGTGAGTGGCCACTACTTACGACTGGGATATTGTCAAATGGCGCTTTACTCTCACTCATCGACACATCCCGACTTGGAACGAAACCTTCCGAGCTGTTGGCATTGCAAAGCACTCTTATGAAATTCTCGAAGAGTTTAGGGTTTCCTTTTGAAACAAATGGGCCCTGTTATACATGCAAATAGTTTTGTTCAATAATGCATTATAATACATGCTTAACATGGTAATTAGCTAGCAAATTGAGAGATAGCTAACTAATAGGTGCATGTCCTCACAAAACTAGTTAGCTACGTACTAGCTAGTATGTCATAGTACATACCCAATCATGACATGATACAAAGAAGTGATCAGCTCCGTTGCTACGGTTCCAATAAGGATATTTTTCGGCGATGACATTAATGTAGTCTTCGACTATTGGTTGCAATGTCCGATCAATAAAAGCAAAGGGTTCATCATCAGGCATAAAGAGGTAGTGAACAATCTTTGTTATACTTATGGGGGATAAAGAAGGCATGTGCTTCATCGGGATGCTTAGCCACCATTGGATTTCCTTTTCTCTCCATTTCCTCGATGAAGTCACCCTCGATACTGTATACAAATATCATCGGACCATTATGCATCAATGGGACATCTCCTTCCTTATAAGTCCATATTTTGAATGTCTTCATCATCTCCGTATGACTCCTGAATGATCCATCGAAATTCGAAATCTAAGGGTTAGAATCTGAAGGGCTATTCAGCATATTCGAATAGAAGTTATAAGATGCAGAATAATTACAATAAAATTATAGAAAAATAATTTTTATTATTTTAAATTAGGGTTTATAATTATATAAACAAAAAATGAGCATTGTCTTCAAGGAATGAGACTAAAAAGATCAAGAAAACTCTATGAATTAAAAACACTTAACTGAAAAAAGGCAAACGGGTTCTTGTAGACGGTTTTATGGTGGATGAAACTCCCATTTATTTGACTCGATGCAAAGCTCTTCTCAACAATCGCTTTGCGAATTTTACCTCTTGCCTTAGCTAACTGTTCTTCGATTCTTGCCAATGTAATGTCATTTTCCTAATGATTAAACACATTTGAAAAAAAAGGGTTATTACTACGTTCACACCAGAATATAAGTAAAAGATTGAAGTTAAAAAGATGTAAGGAAAAGATAATGTAGAAAAATTTGTTTGTCCATATAAAAAATTACTTTGATCTTGGGTTGATCAGCGTCATCTTGCAGACGTCTGAAGATTGAAGGTAATGGCAAACTGGAGGAAGAAAGAATATTGTGGGTTTGATTTATTGGAGATAGAAAAAGAACAAGGAAGAGAAGTGAAAGTAAGGTGAATGTGATAATGAATTTGGTATCAAGCGCCATTTTTTGTCCTTGTAGATCATCTTCTACATATCCGCCGGCCTTCTGTGTAAACTGTACTAGTCCACCTCATTTGGCATATCCATACATTTTCATACTATCCCACTGTGCTATATATAATGTGTGATTTTTATGTTCAAACAATAATTTTAAACATTATATATATATATATATATATATATATATATTATATATATATATATATATATATATATATATATATATATATATATATATATATGAATTTCACATAATACGTACACTAAAAGCTATGACCGATCGATGCGTGTTCAAAAACAGATATGCCAAAATTATTACTACCAAACCCATACCCAAGGCATCTGGTTTTACAGGGTACGTAATACATGCATGTTGGTCAAGTATTTATTATATTCCCACCATACTGAAATGATGGTTGCAGTCTTGTAGATCCCAGTAACAAATAGTATTAAGGGCCAAAGAATATGGAGTACGTTTCGGGAAGTGTCGTTTTTTCAAAAAAATTAAATAAAATAACTTTTAGCTTCAATTTAACTCCACTTTCACATTAATTATCTGATCAGATATCTCGCTTAATTCAATGACTCGAAAGTTCTCATTAAATCAGCCCTTACCACCATTAAAAATTTAAAATATTAAAAGATCAGAAAAGATGTGTATTAAATATTAAGCGATGAAGTTCAATCTCATAGAAACAAACTGCAACTTTTTTGTTTTGTTTTGTTTTTTTTTTTAATAATGACAAACAGATACCTTCTAATCTTACTTCTATATTTACAGTTTTGTCTATCGCCAGCCTTGAAAACAATCCAACCTGAAACGTATACGAAAATGATTCTCACCCCAACAGGAAGAATGTAGTGAAATAATCATGTTAAAAGATTTCTGTTATTCTAATAGAGTATTGGAAAACTATTTATCTACAACCCAATGATCAAGCACAAATTAGGGCAAAGAAGGCGCCGTACGTTGAGTGAGTAACAAATTCATATAATTTAATTTATTTTTGTTAGGAATTCTAAATTGAGATTATTTTAATTATGTGGTTTAAATCAAAGTCTTTCTTTTTTCATAAAATACTCTACAAATTGATTTTTTTTTCTTTTGATATAATTATTAATTTAAAAGGTAATATATATAAATTTGGTCATATAGTTTTTTTTTCCCATTTACTTTTACCCCCTTCAACTTGTTGAACTGTAAATATTCAGTCCTTATAATTTGTTACTTCAGGTCAGTCGGAAAAAATAACTTAATAGGGTGATATATTTCTCGTTTTGTACACATTTAGTCCTTAATATTTCTGTACACATTTAATCCTTAATATTTTTTGTTTCAAAATAAGTTTTTTTTTTTTTTTTTTTTTTTTTTTTTTTAAATACTCATTCAGTACTTATAAATGATTTCTTTAGGTTTTTTCTCACTACATCTTACGTAATACAATCATTGATGAGATGTTTGAAGCTGTTGATGTTTATGTCCATCGCGATCTCGACTATTTGGTTGCGTAGATCTTGTGATTTGACTTAGGTCATGTCGTTTTTAACGTCATAACTTCGTCATACAATATCAGATTTTAACGATATTTATATCCATATGTTCAGTTTTTGAGTCTACTATAACTTTCGTTAAAATTACTCCCTGTTAAAATTTAATATATTTTACTTACGATTTTATAAAAAAACATCCATACATGTATTCATAAAAACATATGGATATAATAATCGTAAGTAAAAATATATTATTTTTTAACGCGAATAATTCAAATGAAAGTGTAGTAGACTAAAATATGAACGCATGGATATAAAGATCATTAAAATCTGAGACCATATGAAGAAGTTATAACGTTCAGAACACATGACCTAAGTAACCAAGTAGTCAAGATCGTGATGGACATAAGCACCAAAAGCCTCAAACACCTCATTAATGATTGTCCCACGTAAGACGTCGTGAGAAAACCTATAAAAATTATTCATAAATACTAAATGAGTACAAAAACAAAAATGTCTAATTTTGCAACAAAAAATTTAAAGGCTTAATATATAGAAAAATATTAAGGACTAAATGTATACAAAGTGAAAAATATATTACCCTATTAATTCATTTTTATCGGTTAACCTGAAGTAGCCGGTCATAAGGACTGAATGTGTACAGTTTAACAAATTAAAGGGGTAAATATGGACGAAAAAAAACTCAATGACCAAATATGTACAAATCAAAAAAATATATTACACTTTTAAGTCATTATCCCTTTCCGTTTAGATGTAAACTTAAAAAAAAATACTCAAGTTTTACGTATTACTTGTTATTTCAGCCTCCAACAGGCTGTTGTTTTTTTTTTTTTTTTTTTTTTTTTTTTCATAAAAGGACCTAATTTGCATTTTTTTCCGTTTTAAACATGATTTAAAATAAATAAATATATAAATAAACAAAACTTGAACTTATTCATTGTTATTTCGTTAATGGATCTGGTTACCAACAAGATTGTAAAAATCGTTCAACGGTAGCTCGCCAGTCAACTGACGATAAATAATTAATTGGACTAGGCGGTGATTAATTGGGGATCCTAAATTATTAATAAAATTATATAAAAATTAATATTTTCTAAAAAAATTAAGTAATTGGGAATTTAAATTTTTAACAATTTGAAATTTTGAAAATTTTAGTATAATATTTTAAATTTTGAAAACTTAAAAATTTGAAAATTTAAAATTTTTGTATAATATTTTAAAATTAAAAACTTTAAAATTTTAAATATTTTCCGCCTATGACTACCGAGGACCGCTAAACCCGAATTTAACAAATTTTGACCAATTTCGGCCAAACACCCTAATCATAATCGGTTCAAGATCATTAAACGATTAATTAACGATTAATCAGCCGTCAATACTGATTTCTACAACACTGCTAACAAGTAACCCTATATCCCCTAACTCATACGTCTATAAACATCGATCACCTAAAAGAAGAATCGATTCTAATTCCCACGTCACCTTTATTTTTCTTTTTCTTAAAGTTAGTATGTGTACTATGAAAATAAATATATCGCATGTAATATTACCTTTATTTTTCTTTTTCTTAACGTTAGTACGTGTACTATTAAAATAAATATATCGTATGTAATATTAACATAAACATATCATCATACCAACATGTAACCTTTAATGAAGCTGACATGGTCGCATTTTTCTTCTTCTTTTTGAAGCTCTTATGGTACCAACATGTGACCTTTGATAAAACTGTTATACGTACCATTAAAATAAACATACCATCAACTTTGTAAAAACAACCTTATGTAGAGGTGCACATTTCAAACTTAATCATGGGAAATAAAAGTAGGGATGTGGAACATGGAAAGATAAACTTAATCATGAGAAATAGAAAAATATCACCTGTAACCAAGATTGAAGTTTATTCTTTATTGCTTAGTAATTGTTTAAAATTTAGATTTGAATAATTGTTATTACTCAACCGATATAGCAAGAAATATTATTTCCTTTCATAGTTTGTAAAAACAAGGTCTTACCTTTTCTTTTAATAATGAAGTTGATACTATTAATGCTTATTATAACAGTGTATTTTATTTTGAAGCATTACCTTGAAATGGTGTATATGAAACTGTGAATGTTTTAGATAACCTAGGAAATAATGTGTTGAATATTGATTCGTCCAATGTTTTGGACAATACATGCTTGTGGCGTTGTCGTCTTGGACATGTCAACAAGAAGCGTATAGCCCAACTCCAAAAGGATGGAGTCTTGGAGCCATTCAACTTAAAGTCGGATGACACTTGCAAATCTTGTTTACTTGGAAATATGATCAAGTCACCCTTCACTGGTACTTGCGAAAGGGGTGAAGGTTTGTTGGATCTCATACACACTAATGTGTGTAGACCATTCAGAACCACCATAAGGTATGCTAACCACTTATATGTAAGTTTTGCTGATGATTCTAGTAGGTAGGGCTATATTTACTTAATCAAGCATAAGTCAGAAACTTTTGAAAAGTTCAAAGAGTTTAAGCAAGAAGTGGAGAATCGATTGGGCAGGAAGATAAGGATGTTGTGATCCGATCGTGGAAGGGAGTATCTTAGTATCAAATTCCTTAACTATCATAAGGAATGTGGAATTGTTTCACAATTGACGCCACCTAGGACACTACAGCTTAATGGCGTGGCTGAGAGGCACAATAGAACCTTGCTAGACATGGTTCGTTCCATGATGAGTCGAGCTTCATTACCTATCTCATTATGGGGGTATGCCTTATAGACTGCTATCCATATCCTTAATCTAGTCCCTACCAAAAAGGTTTCCAAAACACCTCACGAGATATGGACAAGGAACGTTCCCTCGTTAGACCACATCAAGGTTTGGGGTTGCACGGATTTCGTGAGACGTGAGACTCACAACAAGCTCGAATGTTCGAATGAGCGATATATTTTCATCGACTACCCACAGAAGTCCTTTGGATATCTCTTCTATAAACCGATTGATAATGTTGTCTTTGTTGCGAGGAAAGGAGTCTTTCGTGATAGAGAACTCATATTCCAAGAGGATAGTGGGAGGCAAATTGACCTTGAAGAGCTTCAAGAGCTAAGTGATGAAGGAACCTCAAACACTAGCACTCAACCCGAGGAGGAAACTCCGGTTGAACCAATTGACAAGTCTGTACCTCTGAGGGGCTCCGGTAGAGTTAGTATTCTGCCTGTGTTATATGGTTTTCATATAACATCTGAGGGTGACACATTTATCAATGATAGCACACTGATAAATTTGGATGAACCTAACAACTATAAGGATGCCATGGTAGGCCCGAAGTCTGCAAAATGGAAGGACACTTTGGACAGCAAGATTTGGTCCATGTATGATAATCAAGTTTGGAACTTAGTCAACAATGTACCGGGCCGTAAGACAGTCGGGTGCAAATGGATTTTCAAGAAGAAGGCCGACATGGATAGGAGAGTACACACATATAAGGTGCGACTGGTTGCGAAGGGCTTTACTCAAACTTCGGGAGTTGATTATGATGAGACCTTCTTACTAGTATCGAAGATTAAATCTATAAGGGTTATGCTAGCCA